TTCAGGTGATATGTTTATGTAAGGCCATCCTACGTGCTCATCCCGTCAGCTATCTTTTTCTGCTCATGCGCACTTTGAGACGTGTACGTGCGGTGAGATACGATTTCAGTCAGTCATTGAAGCTCACCTTTCTCACCATAGTTCTTTGAAAATGGCCGAGGGTCGTAAGAGAAAAAGTGTCAAAGAAGTCTATGAGAAGAAAAGAAAGGCCTCAGAAGAGGCAGATATATCCTAGAATGATTTGCATGGAGAGCTCTCCTTGCAAAGCATTATGGGATTTACTGTCACAGTGACTAATAACAAATATGGCGCAGAAACCGCACGGTGGAGGGCGAGTTTCGTGACCAATGGGGAGCAAAAAGCCCCTGTAATCGAGGGATTTAGGGGTTAGCTCGTATGAGCTAAAAGAACAGCAACTTTTAAACAGAGCGTGCACGAGGAGAAATGGGGCCATGCCTGCTCTTGTACATGCATTTTTTTATTTATTTTTTTTAAGTGGAGAGGGCGGGTCTCTTAAAAAGTGCGCAAAAGTACTCCACATTACCTTTAAGTAAAACCAAACATCAGATCGAATAAGCTGGATGAGCTAAAGGCTGCTATCAAATCAATCTGGGCTTCCATTACACCTCATCAGAATCACAGTTAGTTGCATTTTACTTTTAAATGCTGATCAAATTCATTGAGATGCATCTGTTAAAGAAACTGGATCAACAACAAATGAATCTGCATGGACAGATGAGGTTTTTCGCTCAAAAAAAAAAAAGAAAGCCTGTTTAAAGAGAGGCTGATTGACATATTTTGTTCAGTTTTCAAAGTCTAATAGAGAATCACATTAGGCTTTTTTTCAGACATTAAAACAGTGCATGGGAAATGTATTCATAAACATTAACTGAATGGCTATTAAGTGAAAATAATCAACAAGTAGGTCAGTACCAACGTGTCCTGCAGCTTTAAGACATTTACATGCGTTTACACATGCAAAGGATTTGGATTCCAGCCACTGCTATTCAGCCTCACCCGTTCTACTAACATAGGATCTACTGTAAAGTGTTACAAACATTTATTAAGGCAGGCCCTGTGTGTGTGTGCAGGAAGTCTTTTTACTTTAAGAGAATTCAGTGCTTTATTTCAGCAGTTTGTGAGCACAGGAGGCCTTGTGGGCACCCTGGCTTTTGACTAGCAGACAAATGATTTGGCAAAGACTCGGGTAACTAAGGCCTGCACCACTTTGGAGATGGAGGCTAAAGAAGGCTTTCATTTCAAAATTATCGGTCTGTTCAAAAGACGTGTACCAAGTGGCACATTTTAACTGTCCATCGCCTTTCTGAGGACACAGTGAGAAAAATTAAACTTTTAGACCAAGTTCTCCAAAAGTTAAACAACTACTTTTCAATACGATCATTACTTTTACACGTCAACAGCCTATGATCCAGGAATGTTGAAACATCTCACACTGTAGGGTTAATGACACACTTCACTCCCCAAATTCAATTTTCTCCCGGTGCTGCAATTTAGGTCTCCTAATCCAGTTCCTCCCAAGAGAAGTCTGCAGATCATGCCTCGGGCCCCACAAGGAGAAATTGTGGAGCATATAGTGGAATGGTTTCAATAGATGGCAGCTAAATTTAGCTGCTGTGAGATTGACTAGAGACAGAGAGGAAGAGGGTGCATACAGAAAGGAGATGGCCACAGGGGATGCAGCACAGAGAGCTGTAAGGACAGCACTGATGCTTGATGCTTGCACAGAAAATGCATCTTTGTTCCACAGATTTAGGAGGTTAAAATCAAACAGTAACATTTCCTTTGCTCATTTTATGCAGATGACCCACACTCTTAACTCTTTGTAGCTCCATGAATCAACTAATAGCAACATGCAGCCCTGATCCCCTTTGACTAAGATGGGAACAAGATCAGCAGCTGTTCCAGCAGCTGAGCTTATCTCCAGGGAGAGAGGAAATGTCCAAAAAAGGTCAAAAGATTAAACAGCAAAGACAGGATGTATATTTAAGGGTCATGGAGAAGAAAATTGCAAAGCAACTTGTCATATCAATTCAGAATACGCACATATTTATAAACAGGATAAAACAGGAAATGTCAAATAAAAAGGTTGATAAATGAGGGTATTTACTAATGTTTTAAAAGCGTGCATAATCTCAACGCATTAGATCAGAACCAACATTAATGACCATAATCCTAATTTAAGAAGTTGGCAGATAAGTTTAAACAGATTTTATTTTTGCAGAGAGCGACCAGGAAAACATGAAAGGACGTAGGCGGTGTCGCGTGAAGAGGAGTAATCGACAGTACAGCAGGTTCAAAGAAACAAAAACCGAACGAGAGGCATTAAAATTCAGCTGTTTCCTACCGTGATGGGTAACTTTATTCCAGACTGCGAAAGTAGGTAAAATACAGCAAACTGCTCACTTGCTTTCCATCCAACTTGAGAACTTCAATGTGCTGTCTGAACTTAACAAACCGCACGCCAGTTGACCAATCAGATTCCGAGATCACCATGACCCCGCCCCTTTTCCTTAGGTTTAACCAATGAGCGTTAAGATTAAGTTTTCCTCGGAAAAAAACACGTTTATGGTTTGATTGATAGGTTTATTTTAACATTGTGAAACTAATGTCACTTTTATTAGGTCACTATCACACCTTAGACATGTATGAAATGCACAGACAAAAATAAAGGAGCAAATAATGCCGATGTGGAGGGAGAAGCCATGATTTTTAAAATATTTAAGACAAAAACGTAAAACAACAGATAATTACCACAGTCAATTGTTGGTTAGGTAACAATATGATATTCTAGGCTTTTTTTTTTTTTTTTTTGAGCTACAGGTTTTCTTTACAGAGTTTGACAAGTATTTAACAAATACTCCAAAAGGAGTAAAAAGAAGCAACAAATTATTTCCATATTTAAAAAAAAGGTAACATGCATTACACTCAGTAGTAAATCCGCAGTCCTTCCAATCCAAACACTCATATTACATGTATTTGAAATTAAAAAATAAACACACACATATATACGTTTTTTTCTTGTACATGAAAATCGATTTCTGTAATAATTTTTAAATGGTACCATGCTCGGACATTGCTTGAGGTCCACATCCAAACTGTTGCAAAATTTCACTCTACAAACAATTTTTTTAAGTTGTACATGGCTTGGCGTACTCTAGGCTTAATGCAAACTGATTGCTTATAAATGGAAAGAGCATGACACAACTGAAAACACATTTTCACCTAAAGGTAAGGAAAGTAATGATTTTTAAAAGCAGTCAGAAGGGTGGGACAGTTTGTGGACATGAAGAACACCAATAATAGAAAACAATCATAAAAGTTTCCATTGTTGGATTTTAATAAAAAGAGGACGATTCTTTAGTTAGACTAAACCAGAACAAAGATCTTGCCCTTCAAACAAAACACTGGTGAGATTGGAGAAGAAAAAAAGATTAAAAGTTTAATATAATCAATAAAACAGCAGCTGAGATGATTACTAGGAGGAGAAAGGAGGAAAGATGAGTAACAAGACATTTACAAAGTTAAAAAACTTTTTTCACCAAAATACATTTACAATACAGGGAATAATTAACACTGAAGCAATAGAACAATATATATATATATATATATATATATATATATATATATATATATATATATATATATAAATGCCAAAATAACTGTACTTAATGAAACCTGTTCACACACTGACATATGTCTAGTTGCTCTATAGGTTCTTATTGTTGTTCCACTGCTTATAAATACAACAAATACCCTTTGTGCTTAACATGGAATGGAATATATTTAAAGCTCATAAACTCCAACTGCCTATGATTGAGAAACAAGTTTAGTCTTGTAGCCTTGCCCTCCTTTATAGGGACAACATAGTCAGATTTGTTAAACATTTCTATCTTTTTGCAGACATGCTCCTCCTGGATGATCATGTAATGATAATTTTTGCTTCCATTTCTTCATTGACTCTCCAGCATCCCTCACACCAAGCATGCATTTAGCAACATGGAGAGAAAAAACGTCCTTTTAACAAGCAGACACCTCCAGCAGAACCAGGCTCAGTGTTGGCACAGGCCGACCGGGGTTCAAGGGGACAGAAGGAGATAAACAAAAAGAAGCATTTATACAAAGACACAGCCAAGAACATGAGCTCTGAGACAGTTCTCATGCCAGAGGATGAAAGATAGCACATACAGTTGGTCTTAGTAAGAGAAAAACAGGCCAAGCGCCAGCATCTACAAACAAAGGTGTTAATGGCAGAAGCACAGCTGATATTTTAATCCAGGATGGAGTTACAGTCAAAGAGGAATAGACCAAATGAAGCTACTACGACAAGAAATAGCAGAGATAGCATAAAGTTATAGTTGGGACTAAGACTGAATAATGGAAGAATAGGGGAAGAATGAAGCTGAATAAGGAAAAATGGTCTCTATGTCCTCCAGCAGCCTAAACTTATAGCATCATAAATATAAAAAATAGCTCAGGATAACCATTTTAAATGAGGTACTAGAGAGTTAGAGCCAAGGAGATACTATCAAACTCTTAATCCAAAGTTATTTTGCTTATTTAAGAAATTAGGTGAATTTATGTAGTATTTACTTCCTAATCACAACTTGAATTTTTATAGTGTTATTTATAGACTTTTATTCTCTTGACTTATTCATACTCAGGAATTGTCTTGCTACTAATATAAACTTGCCTTGCTTACAATATTCTCACTTCAGGTGAAGGATCCACTTCTTTGCTGTAATTTTAAGTTAATCTTACTGAAATCTACAGATAAATCTTAAATTTTCTTCTAATAATTCACACTTTATAGTTTTCATTAATAACTTTACAGCATCTTATATTGAATGTACGTTACCTCATGTCAAAACAATATTTTTAACACTCCAACTCGAACTTGTGTGTTGCAGATAAAGAACTAGTAGTCTGTACAACATATAACTATCAAAAAAAGAAACAAGATGTGAAGGTAGATATATTTAGTTTATTTATTGTCACTTCAAGGAAAATCAAGTCTGCATGATCGAAGAATCCCAGATCTTCACACTTGTTCTCCAAATTCTCGAACCCAGTCAAACAGCATCCTGAGCTTTGCTTCTCACACCGTAATCTTAACCTACTTTGGACAAAGAAAGAGGAAAACAAAGGGTCTTAGTATTGCTATAAAAAAATCCTAATAGTTTAGTTTGTGAAATCATAATTGCAAAACAATCACATACCTCAGCTATCAAAGAATGTTCCTCATACGCTTCTAACAAATGCAAACTGAAACAGCATTGCACAGACCAACTGATAAATATGCAAAATACATATCTATAGCTATTAGTCCAGTATCTCCTTGATACACCAGCAGCAGAGGAGAAAATAAAGGCATTCCTTAACAGACTGGATGAAACCATAACCAAAGTTTCCTCCCAGGAAGTTCTTGCCTCGTCCCAGACCCATAGTAATGTCCCGCAGTTGCTGCCCCAGCGAGGACGAGGGCATGGCCTGGGGAAGAGGACGCTGGGGATGCATGGCTAGGGAAGCAGTATCGATGCAGAGGTAAATGCAACCACTGTCAGTAAGAATGTGTACAATGAAGCCTCTATGGCCAGGCTGGCCCAGTAGTAACCTCTAAATATAACTTTGTGTCCAAACTGCAGCTGTCTCTGTTCACATCCAGGATTTTCTCTTCCATGCTTCTGCTTTCAATCATCTGCTGATTTTTTAGAGGCTTTGTTACCTTTGCAGCTCAACACTCGTCTTTGTTCAATCCCTACACAAAAACTGTGTGGGACATCCCACTGTCACAGCTTCATTCGTTAACAAATAAGAGAGTTCCAGTCCCCCTCTCCCGCC